TGGATACTCTTAATTAATTCTGTTTGGGTGGCATCCATGCCTTTATGCCACCATCTCATAAAGAATATTCGTTTAAGATAAGGGATTTTATTCTAGTAGTCACAGGCAAAATTTCATTTCCAAATCCATGGAATGCCAAACGGATAATAAAATGAACCAAGGATTTGGTCATGGAAATGTCTTTATTTACTGATAATCTGGAATAGGCAATTTGCCATTCATTAAATGCTTAACGAACGGGGTCTGGTAATGCTTCTAACTGGAACCCGAATTTATCCCACCAAACGAGAAACCAATTAGGTAAATCGTTTTTGAGAACATTGGGGACAATACGGATGAACCAAGAATGATTCTTGATGGGATTCTGGTAATAAAAAACATAAGTAAAAGCATCAATATAATCCCAATAACTATATTTGGACTCACGGTTGCGAATATCCAAAGTTCTGGTAGTATGCGAATGAATGCCTCAAGTAGAAAGGGGCATAATATTCCTGATAGTAGCTTTACTGTACTGGATAGGGCTAGCCACTTTATTCGGTTCATGCAGAGTATGACGGAATTCAATGGCTGTAGTTTCTGTTAATATTTGTTCAATAATATATCTATACTGGTCAAAATGTGGGGGAAATTATTAAGTCGTTAAATAACGGCGTTTAATTTCCCATGGATCTGACATCCATTTTTATCTGCTGGTTCAATGTAAAGGACTGTTTCCTCAGCAATACTGTTAGATGTATACTATTCAGGAGTGAGGAGAACATCTTTAGCCGTTTGGCTAGATTCTCCTTTGGTACTGGTTGGAGAGGTCTGAAGCCTCTGAAATTCTGTTAGATCCTGGTGGGCATAAGGATTAGATCCTCGGCCACGGCTTCTATGGCCTTGGCCTCTGCTGTGCATGAACCTTGCAAATATTCATGAGTTAAAAAATCTAGTAGAGAATTCTATTCCCCTTTGATATATTCAATATCAAAATCGAATGCTGATAACAAACTTTGACAAGTTGTAAATATCTGTTTATGAGCAAGATTTTGAATATCTTTTTTAAATATCTGTTTAGCTGTAGAATAATCAACTCTAAGTAAAAATTCTTGATTTAGTAAATCATCCTGGAATTTTAAAATACATTTAACCATAGCTAAACATTCTTGTTTAATGGTTCAGTAATTTAAGGCTGTGCATTTCCGTGTTCCTAATGTAAAACACAAAAGTTCTTCTTGTTGTTTATGAGGATTAAACTGTTTAAGAATACCTCCATATCATTGATTTTATGCATCAGCTTCAATTATTTTTTTCGATTCTAGATTTGGTAAGGCAAGACAAGGAAGTTGCTTGACTTTTAATTTAATTTTTTGGATGGCGGCTGTATGGGCTGGTGTCCAAGGAGAAGGATTTTTCTGTAATCTGGTATAAAGAATAGAAGCATCCTAGGATAACTGGTGATAATAATCTCTGATATAATTGAGACTGCTAAGAAATCTCTGTAATTGAGTTTTGTCTTTGATTTCATCTGGAAATTTAGAGGTAAACTCAATACTTCTGTTAATGGCAGTAATAGTACCATTATGAATATTTTGGCCCAGAAAGGGCAAATTGCAGCTGTAGTCCTTATAATTTACCTTTTTTCCATTTTGGTCCCTATTGTTTCAATTTGCTCAATTTTGTCCTTTAACTTTACGGATTATGCCATATTAGTCCAATAAATAACGACAGTTAAGTTTGATAGATGGATAGTCATATGATGTTTCAATTTGATCCCTGTAGTTTACAGAATGTATCAATTTGGTCTCTGTTGTTTTGACTTTCCTATAAACTACAGGGGCCAAATTGACACATCCTATAAACTACAGGGACCAAATTGAAACATCATTTGAATTTAAATTGTGGAACCCTAGCATTAATTTCTTAATCAAGCTAGGATTTGGATTCTTTTCATTTTGTTTTCACCCACCATCTTCTGAAATTTTATTCAAAGGTCACAAAGATCTTAGTCATCATCATATGTTAATGGATTTGGATTGGGATTTGGATTAGTGTGGACACCCCATTTTTGACCGTCCTCAAGACTTGGACGTCACCGTTTGAACACTCGGTGATCATCCATGTCCGTGTTCGTTTTGAGTTCTCAGAGGTCTCGGCTACGCGCCTTGCCTCAAGATCTCTCAACTTGGCTGTTTTGTGCTTGGTCATGAACCAAACACTTGTGTTTTTGCTTCTGAGGGCAGGGAATGGCTTGTTGGTCATCCCCACACCCCACCGGCCTTGGCTTGAGGCCACCAGCCTAGTTTTTTTTTTTCTACCGGCCAAATATTTTGGTCGGTCGGCATTTCTTTTGGTCGGCTGACCATTTTTGTTGGTCAATCGACCATATTTTCCAGCCGACTGTAGACGCGCCCGCGTGGGCCTCACTACAGTTCAGACTCGATTTGTGTCACGGTTCTTAATCTGAACCAAAGAGTCAAAATCCGGCAAATCGTTTTGAGAAACAGATTTTTGAAAAGAAGTGCCAAACATGGACTGCTTTGCCAGATACAGAGTCGCCACCTAAATATTTTAATGGGGGAATTTAGGAAACCCTGACTCGGTTGTAAAGGCCACGTGTCCGTCATCACCAAAGTTGCCTCGGCTCGGGAGCTTGGGTACGATTAGGGAAGGTCAGCCATGAGCACCCCCTCTCATCCGATCCGAAGATCGGCCTCTACTAACCATGATATCCAATTTTGAAAATGTTATGTGTTCTTATTATGGTTAATTAGCTAGAATTACTATGTGATGCGCACAGCAAAACAAGTATAGACTAGATCGCCTAATTTGGAACAAAGCATCGCATATCCGTTTGTTTGGAAAATGTTTTGAAATTTGCTACTCGCGAGTAGGCTAAAACATGGATTTTGATGAGTTGTTCCAACTCAAGCAATCCAACCTTCACCCACAGGCATTCAAAACCTTTAAAAAGTGACATAATGATAGAACTGAGGAAAACCTGAAGAGCTATAGATTGGCTAATAAAGAAGTCAAAAAAGTAGTGAGAGAGGCTAAGTTAAAAGCTTATGATGATCTATACACTAGACTAGATAGTAAGGAGGGAGAGAATATGGTATACAAACTTGTTAAGATAAAAGAGAGAAAAACAAGAGATTTTAATCAAGTTAAGTGCATCAAGAGTGAGGATTCTAAGGTATTGGTGAAGAATGAGGAGATTAAGGAGAGGTGAAATAACTATTTTGAGAAATTGTTAAATAAGGAACATAGAGGTACGTTAATAGGAGAGGAAATAGCCAGTAATAAAGAAAATCAAGACTATAGGTTCTATCGCAGAATTAAGAACTTTGAAATGGATATTGCACTTGAGAAGATGAAATCGAATAAGGCTTTAGGATTCGATGATATCCCTATTAAAGTTTGGAAGTGTGTGGGTAAGAAGATAGTTGCTTGGTTGACTAGATTGTTTAGTAAGATTTTGTTAACGAAGAACATGTCAGATGAGTGGTGGAAGAATATTTTAGTACCAACCTATAAGAATAAAGGAAATGTCAAGAATTGCAACAACTGTAGAGGAATCAAGCTAATATATCATATAATGAAAGTGTGAGAGAGGGTGATGGAACGTCGATTGCGAGATATAACAGAGGTGTTAGAGAATTAATTTTGGTTTATGCCTGGTAGGTCAATAATAGAAGCGATCTATCTTTCGAGGAGAGTAATAGAAAAGTATAGAGAAAAGAAAAGAGACATTCATATGATATTTATCGATCTTGAGAGAGCATATGATAGAGTGTATCAGGATATAATCTGGTGGGTATTGAAGAAGAAAGGGGTGACAAAATGTTACATTGATGTGGATGACCATTATCAGATCGCCTGCTGGAGAGACGAGTGAATTTTCAATTTTTGTAGGGTTATACCAATGATCAATTTTAAGTCTTTATCTTTTTGCTTTAGTTATAATTGAGTTGACACGCAATATTCAAGATGATGTGCTATGGTGTATACTTTTTGCAAATGATATCATGTTAACAAATAAGATTAGAGAAGGAGTTAACACTAACTTGGAGATTTAGAGAAAACACTTGAATCTAAAAAATCTAGGATAAACAGAACTGAGACAGAGTATATATAGTGTAGTTAGTAGCAATCACAATGGAAGTAGAGGAGAAATGAAGATTGAGAACCAAGAATTACCTAAGAGCGAACATTTTTGTTATTTAAGATCGATTATCACAACGATTGGAGAGATTGGAACGGATGTAATCTATAAAATTAAGGCAGTGGTGGCATAAGTGAAGGAGTGTGTCTAGAGTACTATGCGATAAACAAACACCCATTAGACTAAAAGGGAAATTCTATAGAACGACTATTAGACCAGTAATATTATATGGGACAGAATGTTGGGCAACTAAGAAACAACATGTAGAGAAGATGAGTGTTGCTGAGATGAGGATACTAAGGTAGATGTGTAGTAAGACTAGAAAAGATAGAGTTAGGAATGAGTATATTCGAGAATGGGTAGGTTTAGTACCAATAGAACATAAGTTGAGAGAAAATAGATTGAGATAATTTGGTCATATACAACGGAGACCAACAAAGGTAGTAGTGAAGAGATGCGATACAGTGATGGTAGATGATAGTATTAGGTAATGGGGTAAACCTATATTGACGTAGTCTATTTTAGTAAATAAAAATATGAATCTCCTTAATTTAACTAACGAAATGGCCTTAGATAGAGTCGAGTGAAGAAGAATAATTCATTTAGCCGACGCCATTTGATAAAACTTAAGGCTTGATATAATTTGGTTAAATTTAATAATAATATTAATAGAATAATGATATTTTACACTTCGCATTGGGCCTCTCTATATTTCCTGAAAGAAAAGACCAAAAGTGAAAGTAAACGGTTAAAGTCATAATTCTAACAATAACTTGTTATGTATTTCAAAATTTGTCAAGTTAGAAAATTTAAAAGAAATATATAGATCATATATATCAAGCACACTCTGTACCTATTCTCTATGTATAAGAAATTGATGTGGCCATGGAAAATAAGAAAACAAATCTACGATTATAATCTTCAGATGCTCCGGATTTGTGACAAAGGGACTTACCACTTTTCGAATTGGCAAGTTGAGCAAAAGACTTCGCAGCACAGGGTCCGGTTTTAGATTCTCATAGGGTAGTCTCCCATGGACAAAACTGCAAAGCAGAGAAGTCAACAATTTACAATCCAAAAATCCCAACAACAAAAAAAAAAAACTAAGTGTTATTGCTTGAATTTCACACCTGTGATAGTCATCATAGTCGAAGTCATAGCCGATTGCCTGCAATTGAAATACCAAAAATGAAACAGAATTACTAGAACTGTTTATGGATTAACACACTTCTCAAACAGTTATAAGAATTTAAAGTTAATTCATACCCTAAGCCCTGCCATTGTTGTCCCATAATTCTTGTACAGTAGATTACTCAATTCGGGTATCTTGTTCTTGTCTATGCCGAGCTTTTCAACCATATAATCTAGAAAAATTTAACCAAATTAAAGTTAGGAAAAAAAGAAAAAGAAAAAGAAAAAGAAAAACAGTGATAAATGGGACCCACATAAGTGTATTCGTTACACATGAAACTTTGCAGGATTTCAGAGAGTACTATACATGGATAACAGAAATAGGAATATGCCACAAGGTTATACCTCCAATATTCTTGCAGCATCCAGCTGCCAAACCAGTACTAAGGGGATAGAGAGTATCATCTAAATCTGCATGTTTTAATACACTCATATTAGGCTTGCTAGTAAAACATGTTTTTAGAAAACAAAAAAAAAAAGAAAAATGTTTGGTGGCTACAAATTCTGTGGCTCAAATGGCACAAAAATGCCAAAAAGACGTCGTTTTGACATTTTCAGCCATTTGAACCACAAAATTTGTGGCCACCAATCATTGCCCAAAAAAAAAATCAAAAATGCCTTACCAAACAGAAGACAGTCATATTTTGGCCTCTGAGCCTGTCTGTACTGGTCTTCGTATCCCATTTTGTTCTAAAAACCTTCAGAAAAGAATGAATGGATCGTGAGAAACTGGGATAAGTTAAAACCATCCAAGCTTTTGTGAAACTTGAATTCAATTCTGATTTTGTAAATTTTCATGGCTTAAAAGTTTATCATTGTGGTCTACTGACTCTGATTACCATTATAAGAACACAAGGGCATGGAATATCTATAACCATTCCAATTACTTGGGATATGACATATTGGTTTTGTGAATGGAAAATCCACAACCACCATTTCATATTTATCGAAACCATGAAACGTGGACAATTGGCTTTAAGGTTCAAAACTTGCGTCATAAAATATATACAAATACCACTAAAAAAAAAGTTTATATTTATTTAGAAACAAAAAGTTATTTACTAACCATTTTGTTAGGAACAAAAATCAAACACAGAAATGAACATAATATACACAGAAATAAAAAATAAATTAATCAAACTGAACATAGGGATAATTTGGGAAGCTAACCAAAAATTAACTTTTAACTCTTAACTCATTTTGAATCACATATCTCCCACATTATAAAAAAAAATAAATAAATAAATAAAGTTTTTAACCAATTTTTCAAATTATCCCATAATTATCACAAAGATGTGAGACTCACAAAAAAAAACAAGACTCATCTCATGTGAGAATGTTATGTTTAGTTCTATGATCGATTTCTGTTTTAGACTTTTTCCAAGTTCTGTAGTTGCCCGTCCATATACATTAGGGTCATGTTTATTTGGGCGATAGACTGGATTAGTATTTTCATGACTAATAGTCCTACGACTACGAATCCGTTGGATTATGTATCCTATCTTAACTAATAGTCAAGTTTAAAATAATTAGTCCGTACTTCAATTATTTAATCAAACATCGGATTAATAATTTTATTGGATTATTAGTCCAATCCCAAAGTCATGTCCACCCAAACAAACAGGACCTATGTGTTCAATTTCTCTACCCTTTTCACTACATATCTTAACTTCAAGAACCAGGCCCAACTCAAACGTCTTTATTAGATTAAACAAACAATAAAGAGAAAAATTGGAGAGAGAGAGAGAGAGTTTTTTTTTTTTTTCAAAAAAGGAACATCAATGAACTGCAAATTTCTCAATTAACAAAGAGAAATCTATAATAAACCATGAATTAGAGAACCCAAAAATTTCATCGAAATCGGCAAGAAAATTGAATAGCAAAAATGGGCAGAACTCAGGGACAGAACATACCAAATTCGAGAAACGAATGTTGGAGAGAGAATGCAAACTTTAGAGAGAGAAAGTAACGGGCAGAGATAGCACAATGCTAGAGAGAGGGAGAGAGAGATGAAATAGTTGTAGAGAGAGAAAGCTTTCTGCAATGGAAGATTGAAGTATGCAGGGGAGAGAGGAGGAAGGAAGACTAGGCAGGGCTTCTATTTAAATAGGCAAATCGTTGCTTTTTTAAAAAAATTTAATTTAATAAAATAATAATTAATTTATTAAAATATTTTAATTTTGTTTAATTTAATTAAAGGCGGTTTTGAAAACTAATCAAAAAAATAAAATTTAGTGGCGTACGTAGTTTCTGGACTTCAATTATTTGACCATACAATGACCAAAATATCCTTCTTCTAACTGTCCCTTTCAAGTTTATATTTGATATTTTTTAGAGAAGTAATATATTGATATTTTTTTGTTGTATAGTCTTATTTTATTTTTTTTGACAAATTTCATATACTAAAATTAAAACAAAAAATACTACAGTAAAGAGACTAACAAGTTATAGGATCATTTTTTAAATAAAGAGACTATCACTTAGGACATCTCCAATTTACTCTTATTAAATTTAAAACGGATTAAAACCTTCAAAAATTTTCTCAACTTTTTTACTCTCAAACTGTCAAAATAAATTTCCTTAAAATTTTAATGAATTTTGTAACTCGAATTTCTAAAGGTTATTTGCATGACTTGTTACTTCTAAATTTACAATTTTGATACTTACCAAACATTTATCCTCTGTTTGTTTGGGTACAAAAAAAAATTTCATTTTTTAAATAATTTCTGAGTTTTAGACAGTAGAATTCAAAAGTCAACAAAAAATATTTTCATGATTAACTAAAAATAAGTCGAATTGGATAAAAAATATTTTTTACTTTTAAAAAATAAAAAAAAATATTTTTTAAATTAAAGTCTTATCAATATCATCACACGACCACTGTCACACCACCACCTCCACGGCCGGTTGCCGCCACCATACCGCCGCCACCATGCCACCGCCACCTTACCTTTGTCCCACCACCATCCCCATCATCAAACAGGAAAAATATTTCTGAACAAAAAAATTCCTTAAAAATGTTTTCTTCTCAAATAAACAAAGAATACTTTATATTAATGAAGCTTTCACTTAATTTTTTAAACTTAAATTCAAGTAAAAATATGAGTAAGGGTTATAGTGATATTTGGATTATAAATTTTAAAAAAGAGAGAGAAAGAGAAAAAGAAAAAAAATTAAATTATATTCCATTAATATTTTTTTATATTTTTATATTTTCCTTTTCAAACTATTATGGTACATATCCCTATATGTTTTTTTTGGTGTGTTACGTTATTTTGAGACAAATATTATGTAATTTTTTTTGGTAAAGATAATAATTTATGATTCAAAAATAATATTATGTATTTTGTGATAATATTATGTATTTTTGTAATAATATTTTATATTTTTTATCTAAATATTTTCTAACTAACAAAATGTATAACATTGTAATATTACCATAGAATATATAACTTCATTTATGAATTATAAATTATTGTAGTTTTAAAAATACATAATAAGACTATAGGTTATTTTGAGAAGATGATTAAAAGTTATATTCTAACTTTTAACTTTTAACTCATTTTAGATTATATCATTTTTCATATTTTTTAAACGTTTATTTAAAAAAGTCAACAAAAGTCCAAAAAATTAATTTTAACTATCTTTTCTCAACAGGTAATTATTAAGTATTTTCAGAATATGGAGAGTGCTCCATAAAATTTTGATTGATAGAGAGTGATATGAACTCACGATTTATGTTAGCGATGAAAGAATGACATGAAACTAAATAATTGATAATTAACTTAAAATATGACCACGTAATATTTCGAAATAATTGAATAACTTTCCCTCCCAACAACCCTATAAAGGTCCACACGGTGTGCACTACATATAGCATTTCCAGAAGAGGTTAATTACAGGCATTTAATAGGACAGTGACTAATCTTTTAGTTAATTCTTCCGCCGTATGGCAGGTGGCACTCGGCTCCTTATTAAATTTTGATGTTAATATTAACCACAAAAAAAATAAAAATAAATAAATAAATAAAATTGATGTTAACTGTTCAAGATAAATTCAATGTAATCGATTTCAGTTTTTTGAATTTAATTTTTTAAAATTTAAATTTTTTGTTTCTCATATTTTTTTTTATTTTTAGTGAATATTTTTTAGATTTTTAGGAAATTTTTTTTTTTACTTTTTTAGATGCACCTAACTAGAATATATCTAAATAAAAAAAATATTATAAAAAAATATTTTAAAAAATTAATAAATACACAAAAATATTAAAAAAATATATATTGAATTTCTATATGTATATATATGTTATTTTGTATAGTAAATTTTTTAAAGATTTTTTCACAAATATTATATTTTTTAAGTGTATTAATGTTAGGTGTGTCTAAAAATTAAAAAATTGTTTAAAATATTAAAAAAAATAGTAAAAACAAAAAAATATACAAAAAATAAAAAAGTAGAATTTTCTCAAAAGTGAATTCTGAAAAATAATAACATAAAGAGAATTGTTTTCTTAATAAAATAATGATAAATTTTTTTATAGTTTTAATTTATTTTTTTTACATTTTTTAAAGCACTTTTACATATTTTATATATATATATATATATATATATATAATATTTAAACATTTTAATATATTTTTGACATATTTTTTTTTAATATTAATAACAAGTTTCACCTGATTTGGGAATAACTAAAAAAATTAACTTTTTAATTACAAAAAGAAAAAAAAATAGATTATTTATTTATCATCTGTTAAAAATTAGAAATTAGAAAATTAATCATTACAAATTACCGGTAAATCTCAAATTAGGGAATGATGATCCATTTATTCTTGTATTTTTCTTATAAACCATTTGGTCCTATTTAATTGGCGAAAAATATTTTCCTTTGATTTGGCATAGGTGGAGTTTACACATTTACCTTTATTATAATTTTGGTGGACTCTTTTTTGTTCATTTGTGTGTAATGATTGAGAGGGTAACATTTTACATTTCTATTTTTGTGTGTTTGATTTTTATAGAGTGATATACGGTGGATGGGTTTTAATTACAGATGTTTTCTTGTAACGTGAGAATCAATTTTATTTTTTTTTGGGAAACATCACGACGTACCATATTACACACTAAGCATATTACGACGTGTCCAACATAAATCACAAACATTACGAAATGAATTACCATATTGCAAGACACATACTTATAGTACACAACATATTTCCACATTGAATATATTGGTACAAGACACAAGAAACATAACCACGTACCCACAAATCTCACTCTAAAACCAACATGCACAACCAATGTCAAGATGCAAAACCCCGTTGCTTGCATTGGATGGATGATGTTAACAACACCTACATGTATAAATTACCACAGCAACAAAATGCATATCCTACGTCCAAACAGGACAATATGCCAACTATAAATACACAACAATATCAATATACCCCTTCCACCATAAACTAATAGATAACTCTGACTATTAATATTCAATACACAACACCATAATATTACCATACGAACATCACATCTAATCATACACATTCGATGTGCGTGAATCGTCATATATGAAAATCACAATGTTAAATTTATCCCAAATCTCACATTGCACATTACATCAACCAATTAGGGCATGCAATGATGACTTAAATCACAAAACAAAAATCGAATACAAATATAGGATAACAAATTGCAGCACACATCAACAATTAAAGTGTTAAACATTACACGTCTTCGCCTTTCATTGTCAACATTTGAAATTACGGCAATGTCGTAATCGGTGTGTACAACGATGAACACTGTCCACTCTATCTATATGTATGTCTCCAGAGACAACGATGTCAAACCCTCACCGATGGAGATTGATCAGCTATTGTTAAAGGTGGTTCGTCAGGTGAAAAGGTTCCTCCAATTAGGGTTTTAGTCGAAAACACAAATATGAAATTTGTGGGAACAACTCTTCAGAAAAACCATCAATCACATCTAGTGTTCCAATTTTAAACTCACCTTGAGCTTCAATCTCTAGATACCCTCTCAATTTCTCCATCCTCTTCTTGTAGATCTTCCCTCCTTGTTCTTTCTCTCTTCGCTCTTCTTTTTCTTCTCTCAGGAGATATTTGAGTTAAGATTACCAAGTCAATTGTCTAAGGAAGCAAGAGTATATATAAAAGGTGAATAAGGACAAAAATCAATCTGTTTAAGCATCCCAAATTGAAATTTCACAGAAACACTTAATATTACTTAAAAATTATGCTGATGACATATATGAAATCAATTTCAGATAATTAAGCCCCTAAGGTGTCCAATTTCTGATTCAAATATTCTAAGTGTAACAGATGCTTTTCTTGTTAAACAGATAGACATCCTTAAACATGGGATTCGCTTACATAACCTTAATTTCTCTGAGAATTTCACAGTAAGCATTCGAAAGCACCAAACAGGGACTGAAGATATATTAGAAAACATGTACGAGGGTTGGGTTGTTACACTCTCCCCCTCTTAAATAAGTTTGGTCCCTCAAACTTGTTTTACCTTATGATCGAAACATATGCGGATATTGGTATCGCATTTTAGATTCAAAAGAACCAAATCTGATTATCACTTGCAAAAGAATTCGGTTACGTAGTTAGATACAAATCCGATAATACATAATTAAATCAGACATCAGAACTTTCCAGGCAAGGCTCTACCCAATAAACAAGGTATGCTTCATTCCAGCAGTCACGAATAAGTCATTTAGGTACGTAGCCACTCGCTTCACAATCATATGTCATAATTCTTGACAAGGTCAGAGCGATAGGAAACATCATGAATTCTTCATAACATTATTTCTAAATGTAATAGCACAAAACGGACCATGCTCCGAATCAACAGTTACGATAATATCAAAGCAAGCATCATACAAATCGGGACAATACAAACAAAGGGAGTCATTCAAGACAAAGTCAGAAATCAAGTTCAGAATCGTATTTAATTAACTAGTCAGAACGGTAAGGTACACATCCTCCCTTATTAAGCATTCTCTTGTTACGAGAAGAGTAATTTGATTCCCCCTTTTTCTTCATCACCTTAGTGTTCTATTGTTCATAT